GTCGAGTTGTTGGGTAATGACTGGACTTAATCAAATTGATGTTTGATTTCACATGTGGATTCAAAATTCGGAATTGGCTGAACAATTCCCACATGCACCAATTGGGCCTCCAGGGGCATTGCAAGCAGGAAGGGAAGGCAGGACCACAGTCAAGGGGCTCGCCTCTCTCCAGCTGCTCCCTCACCAAAGGGAAAGAAGAAGGGGGGTGGAAAGGGCACCTAGGGTTTCGGACTCACTGTGACCCCGGTCCCAACTAACTGACCTCCCTGGAAGACAAGCTAGCAGTACTGCCTGCGAAGCACTGTCCCCAAGACTACAAGCACTCAGACACCACCCCAGGCACACGGACCTAGTACTTAGTGGAGCAGAGGGGAGAATCTCTGTATCATACTAGATACATCTTGTATATAAACCCAGGTTATACTGAGCTAATGTCCGAGCAATCCGACGGTGTTAGGGACGGATAGAAACGGATAGAAACGGACAGAACAACATAGAACAAAAGAAACAACAGAAAACATAAAAATATATAGGAACGGCCACACAATCGATAAACTCTGACGATATCCACAACGGCTGCACCAAATCTCCCGATCTTGGACTCGTTCTACTCGTTTTGATGGTAGCTTTCCAGCGATACCAAGTGCATCCGGATCGGAGAAGAACTGGGGGAGTTATGGTAAAAATACTATGAAAGCGGCCTGGTAACATGTTCGGGTGGGCCATAACCTGGTCTGAAAAATTATCAAAAAAAATACAACGATGATAGGGGAGGTTCATCGAGCTTTGGGGGACTGGGGTACTGTGTGTCAGGCGCTAGGTAATGTCTGTAGGCCATGATATAGCGGTGTCAGGGTACTACTGGCTTTTCCCTCCTTCAGTGTCGGCCCTAAGAAGGGGATACGGTCATGACCTGGCATATCCACCATTCCTGTCAACATGTCCTAGTGCCACTTGGCCCATCCCACCCACTACCACCATCATCTGTCCATCCATCCATCCACCTGTCACCCTCATCCACACTTCTGTCAGGGCATGGATGGTTATCCAGCCAGCCCGGACCCCTATCTGGATAGGTTGAGTACCCATAAGTCGATATCTGCGTGTGATTTGCTGTAGTTAGAATGCAGGCTGTATTCAATGCGCTATTTCCGCTATCATGTCATCCCTTACCCATTATTGCCCCCTTATCCACATGGTCTATTCTCCTGTCTCGTGTTGCTTCTCGTCAGGGGACGGACCCCGGGTCCCCATGACCCCTCTCTATGGCCCACAGCCTAACCTATGAACAGCCCTGTCCAGGGCAGTGACTCTACTGTGGGTAAGAAAGTGATATAAACAAAGGGGCAAGTAGATACACTTGCCTACTGTGGGTAAGAAAGTGAGAAGAAGGTTAACTTCTCACTTTCCCACAGTGGCCCCAATATGGCGAAAACTTCTGGGGATACCCGGAAGTCACATGAGGTGGGATCCGGGGTCGGATCATGCAGTGCGCGGAGCGTGCGGTGCAGGAAGTGCGTGGGAAGTGGAGTGGGTCCGGACATGGGTCCGGGTCCGGGCTAAGTCAGGGTATGTGCCCTGACACTTCTCTATCGGCTACCATGTATTCCCAATGTAGCTGCGCTCTTATGAGTTGCGGAACTCATGTATATAAGGCCTTATCGCCAGCTGGGTTGGCTCCCCAGCTTTTACAACGACTAGTTTCCCAGGGAGATTCTTACATGCGAACTGATGCACAGACTCTGACAACTTCCTCCCCCATGCATGTACCTTCCAACCAAGGTTGCCTGTTTGAGTGGTTCATTGTTGTCCACCTGCCAGCTGGACGGTGTCAGGGCACACCCACCTGACCCACTTCCACCCAGGCCCACCTCACCCGGTACCTCTTCTCCCATCCTGCACCCTTCTTTCCTGTTCTCTCTCCTCTCTATCTGTCAGGGACTTGTCTGGGGTCGAGGGGGCCCGGGTGTAGTGTCTGGGGCTGAGAGCCTGGCAGGGGGCAGATTGGGCGTGTGTACTGACAGGCCTGATGCAGGACAGTGGTCCCTGGCCACTTAGACTGAAGTGGAAAGTTGAGAAGAAGGCTACTTCTTCGGTTCCCGCTTCAGGTTCGTTTATATACATGCGGCTTAGATCACATGACAGGTGCCACGTCACCCTCGCACACAGCTGTAACCACCCAGGTGTCTCCGTGGGAGATCCCGAGGGCATCCAGTGCAGGCGCGCGTACTGGGCACAGTGGGAAGTTGCCCGAGGTGCCTGGGCCGGGTACATGGTGGGCACGCTGCAGATGGGTCAATGGTACATTGATACAAAGAAGGTCGTCCGTGTAGAATAAAGAGAGAATAAAGAAGAAGTAAGATAGGAAGAAAGTGAGGAAGGAAGAATGAGGAGGGAGGAAGGGAAAGGGGGAGGAGGTGAGGAAGGGTGGACAGCGGGGTACCGGGTCAGGTTGGGCTGGGTGGAGCCAGGTCAGGTGGGTGTGCCCTGACAGACAAAGGGAACTGGAAGGAGAACAAAGGGGGACTGGATGAGGGAACAACCCCAAGGGCCAAGAGGGGAAGGAGTGGAGGGGGTTGTGGGGAATGACAGCTGACTAATATGGAAAGGAAGCAGCTGTCTAAATAAGGAAGAGGCAACAAGAGGATTAAATGACACCATACAGTAGAGACTGCAGGGTCCGGAGTCAGAAGTCAAAGTCCAGAATATTGGCTAGATGTAATAAATGAAATGCAATAAGGAATACAAGGAGATAAGACAGAGGAGGAGGTCAAAGTCCAGAGGCAGAGATGTGACCAGAGTTCTGGAGGTGGAGGTGCAATGGGGTTCTGGTACAGGAGTCCGGAGCCAGAGGTGGAGCATCACAAGCTCTGGTCTGGAAGGTATGAGGTTGGGATTGGACCCGGAGTAAACCGGAGTCGGATCGGAGGTAGTGTTGGATGTTGTGTTGGAGCCAGAGGTAGAGTGGGCTCTCAACAACCAACAGGGGGAGGATGTGGAGGATGTGGAGTTCTGGAGGAGGAGATGGAAGTCCAGAATCAGGAGTGGAGGTCCGGAGTTGTATGGATATGACAGTTTCCTTATTTCCTTTTGTTGGCAAGGTTTGCCAACATTAACCATTTGTCTATTTTTTCATTCATCAATATTGCACTTGATCCACCACTCCTTCCAGGCCAGTCCATTTAGTTACTTGTGCTTATAATGCATGTAGGTTACACTGGATGTACCTCAGTGTTAGAACTGGGCGAGGGCAGACGATTCCGGAGGGAACTGGAGACTTAGCAAGGAGGGACCTTGGCCTCAGCGACTCAAGTGGAGTGCTGTGCCATTGCTGTTTGTCCATTTGGTCCTTAATTTCATAGGAGGTGAGCAGGAAGTCTCTAGGGGGCATTTCAGGTCGATTTTAGACTAAGGCCTAAAACGAGTATGTACAAGTGCCAATATATATAATGGAGAGGGCAAAAGCACAGGGAAACAAAGGGGGTCCGAATTGGAATGAAGATGTCCGAACGGGAACAAAGGGATGACAGAAGCGGAGCGGTACCGACAGTCATAGGGCAGAACCTGTGGTACATCCGAAAGGAGGTAAGGAGGGCAAAGCCCAGAGGGGCAGGAGGATGAGGGGAAGTGGGGATGCTAACTGGCTAGAATGGGAAGAAGCAGCAGTCCAAATAGGGATGAGGGGAAAATGCGAGAGATACATTACAAGCAGCGAAAGTGCCGAAGATGATCCATGGAGCTTGGAGGTTGCGGAGCTTACAGAGGTTACAGAGGCGGGGTTGAAAGTCCAAGGAATATTGGCAATGGTGTTTACGTAGTATGAGGTCACCAATGCAATGGACTAAAGCCAAGGTGGAGTCAAAGTCCGAGGTAGGAACTATGATGAAGTCTCGGAGCAAAGGTACGAGCAGTGTCCAAGTACGAGGTACGGGACAGCAGTGGAAGGTCGGTGGAAGAGGACCAGAGGGAAGAGAGAGGAAAGAGGAAAAGTGGAGGAGAGGAAAGGTGTCAGGTCCGGAGGTGAGTGTCGGAGCGGACAGGAGAAGGGTAGGAGAATGACGGAAGGGTGGAGGTGTTGTGAGGAGGAAGTGGAGGAGTGGGAGGAGGAGTAGGAGGAGGGTGGCAAGAGGAGTGGTGTTTGGTCCGAGGTGAGTATTGGAGCGGATGGAGATAGGACAGGAGAAGGACGGAGGAGTGGAGGTGGCATGAGGGGTGAGGGGAGGTGTGGTGTCAGGACCGAAGGTGAATATTGGAATGGACAGCGGTAGGGTAGGACTCTGGAGGTGGTGAAGGAGGAGGTCCGGGAGTTGGGTCAGGATCGGGTATGCACGGATATGACACTCAGTTTGTATATTGACTTGGATTCCCCCCCCTAGTGTCTTCTCTACATCGTAAGGCTTCTGTCTGAAATTGGGACAACAACGTAAGAACAAAGTGCAGTGCTCCACCCAAGTTGCTGAAGCTGAAGTCCCACCCCTCCAACCTTACAAGCCCAGACAACTTTGTGTGCCTTGTGGATCATCTGGATACACGTCCGACACGTTCCTGACAATCTTTATCACAATTGGTGCTCGCAATGTGCATTATGGTGGCCCTCCAGAATTCCTGACCAGTGTAAAACTGAAATGGTGAAGCACTTTTTCGCATTATTATCCTCTCGCTCATTGACTACTACAGTATGTGCAGTGTGTGGAGCTGCAATGCTCTTGTCAGCGATGGTTCCGGAACCCGTGAATCTAGCATCTTATGATGTGGTGGTACTGCAAGGTCATTATCCACCATCAGCACACCCCTGGCCTCATCATCCTCTCTTACACAATGTCATGTTGTGTCCCAATGGAATTGTCAATGCTTCGACCTCCAATGTCTGGGTCTGAATGTGCTGCAAATGCAAATGCACTTTAAGTTGTGGTTGTTTGCCTAATACTGCATTGGCTAACAATCTTTTCTTCGGTCCCATTCCTCCCCAATTAACAGACCTATCTATCATAGAAGAAGCCTTGATCGCCCGTCAACATGCCAAATCCTGGATTATCCATTTGCAAGATGAATCCACATTGAATGCTCATTCCGTTGGCCTGGCTGCACCCTCTTTCAATGGTACTGCTCAATGTGCATTGAAAGGGCATATTATCATTTTCCCCATGAACCCTGAAGCTCTGGCCCAATTTCTGCCTCCGGCTTTGGAAGAAGTCATTACCCCTCTGTGCATCATCTTTGTGGGTCCTAGCCCCCCCTCGAAAGAGTGGCTGTTGAAGAATGCACGGCCTTTGATAGTGAGACAGGAGAAAGTACAAAGAGCGCTGGAATGGCTCATCCATCATAATCCACTGTATTCCGACATCCAACTAGATGAGGATCATTTGAAACAACTACCCAAATGTGACATTCCACCAGTACTCATTCACTCTCACTGTCCCACAGCAGCTGCTATGGCGTCTGGATCCCGATATGATCCACACACCTCCGAAGATGGGGACTGCAGTCCCACAGCTGGTCCTATCTATCAAAATGTGGTGGTATGTGACATAGATATGCATGATGCAAACACTGCTGAAATGACAGCTGCCACCATCAGACACCTGAAACGTGCTAATGGTGAGGTGGGTGCTCACATCCAAATCAAACATTTGCCAAATCCAGCCAACCACTATTCTGATCCCCATTTGCTCGCTCTCCTCTACCCCACTCTTTTCCCCTTTGGCATTGGTGCAGAGCTGCATAACTGTCGTTTGCCACTGGGCTTACAGCTCTTGGCTTCTCATTTGTTCTCTCTCACTGACCGTCGTTTTCAAGAGCATTACTCCTTTTTGTTTGTCATCTTCAACATCATACAATGTCAGATCACATCCTTCCAATCAAAATTAAAAACTACACATTCCAATTTCGATCATGTTGTACACACTCTGAGCCATGTTGCCCCCGTCACTTTTGATACAGTCATTGATTGATTCTGTTGTGGTGATTATGCTGCAGGCACTGAGCCTGATGAATGTCAGGGCACACACCCTGACTAGCCTGGACCCGGACCTGCATGTGTGCTCCACCCCGCATGCTCCGCATGCTCCGCACGCCACATGCTCCAGGCCCGGTTCCTATTCCTCATGTGACTTCTGGGTATCCCCGGAAGTTTTGCTGATATTGGGGCCACTGTGGGAAGATGAGAAGTTAGCTCCCTTCTCATCTTCTTACCCACAGTAGGTTATGCCCTGGATAGGGCTGGTTACACTACAGGGCTGTGGACCATAGGGGAGGGTCATGGGGACCCGGGAGTCATCCCCTGACAATGAACATGTGGTCCTTAAACTCATGCATGATGTGTCTCTAATTTCAGCCAAAGTTCTGGGTTCCCAAGCTGCTCGAACTCAAATGCGAAACGAGATCAGAGCACTCATCTTTGAACGTGGTTGTCCTACCTTTTTTGTCACCATCAATCCTGCAGATGTGTACAATCCCATTGTCAAGTTCCTTTCAGGGGCTCAATTTGACTTGGATGCCATCTTGCTGGCTGAGGTGCCCTCCTACTGGGAACAGGCTTCCCTGGTTGCACGGAATCCCTTTATTGCTGCTTGATTCTTTCGTATATACATTGAGGCCTTCATTAAAGCTCTCTTGGGTCATTCCAACACCGACCACATCTGTGCTGATGGTATCTTAGGCCCTTGTAAAGCTTACTATGGAACAGTCGAAGCTCAGGGATGAGGAACCCTACATTGTCACATGCTGGTGTGGATTGAAGGTGCTCTGAATCCTCAACAAATAAAGGATCGGGTGTTAATACAGCATGACTTTGTTTGGCAGACTCAACTCTTGGAATGGTTGGATGACACTATCAGCAATGAGGATCGAACACCCACAGGACCCTCTGTTTCCCACTCTGATAAGATTCATCCCTGTACTATCCAATGTCATCCAGATACTCACTCAGAGTCAGAAATGCAGAAGGATTTAGATCTTTTGGTTCAAAAGTGTCAGTCCCATAAACATTCCACCACTTGTTACAAATGAGGAGATGGAATTTGTCGGTTTGGGCACTCTCCTGACCACATCGTCTGCAGTTCTTCCATGGATATGGAGACTGGTGAGCTCAACCTGCACCAATGAAATGATCAACAACTACTGCAAAACGATTTTACAAGCAGTGCATTGCAATATGGACATAAAATTTATTGGTTCTGGCACATCAGCTAAAGCAATTTTGTACTACATCACCGATTACATTACCAAATCCCCTTTGAAAACAGAGGTAGCTTATGCTGCCCTTCAGGCCGCTGTGCAGAAAATGCAAGATAGCTCTGACTCTGAATCCACAGCAATTGATTGAGCCAAAAGTATGTTGGTGAAGTGTGCAAATGCTTTGATTGCAAAACAAGAACTTAACGTGCCTCAAATTGCTTCATATCTTCTCAGTTACAACAATTGTTTCACAAGCCATCAATTTCGATCCTTCTACTGGTCTGCATTCACCTCATATGTTCAAGTGTTGGACGCCTCCTCACCTCCTCCTCCACACACTACCCTTTCCACTCCAGACCCAGCTGAGGTGTTGAACGAACAAGAGACCACTGTAGAGAGTGATCATGTCACCAGCACTTTCCAATGCTCAGGTTCACAGTTGATGGATTATTTGGCTTGAGATTCATCCCCAATGTTTGAAGCAATGTCAGTATGGGATTTTGTAGATAAAGTATACAAATGTGCTCGATCCACTGTCTCAGTCGATGGCAACATGGAGTCCATGACAGCGGAACCAAATCATCACTTACCAACTTCATCTTTATCGCCTGATCATCCACAGCATCTGAGTCACATCTTGTGAAGATGTCAAAAGCGCTGGATTCCTGTTACGAGGATGGGGAGAACTCCCCTCTCCTCGATCCGTTCTTATAGAGGGATGACGATCGTTGTATCTAGTCTGTACCATAATGGGATATGTAATCGATGAGTGATCCCAGTCTTGCATGGGAGTGGACGATCAAATTCCCATTGATCATGGTTGGTGATGTAGTGAGCTATTAAGGGATTGATGGTAGGTAGTCAGAGACATCAGGAAGGATGGGTCGGCCACAGGTACTTGGCGCTCCATTGGAGCGTACTGTGTGCGTGGTTGCGACTTGTGAGGTGGGTGAGAACTTCGTATAACTGCCATCGGTTACTTGGCGTTTGCATAGCGAGTGTACCGGCATCACGGGAATGTGGACCTCAGAGTATTCATGATCTCTAGGGTCGTGATATGTTGTTGTCCATCGAGCACTGGGGGGAGAGCTGAGTGATGAAGTCCCGTAGGATACAGATTCCATAGGATGATATACAAGTCGAGAGTCTTTGACTCATGACCTCAAGTTCTCATGGCGAGGGCCGCTAGAGGACTTGACATAACCAGACTTATAGGACATGTTGCGAGTTGTACAGTCACACAGGTTCAGTTGAGTCACAAGAAGGGGTTGATACAAGGGATGGCACACAAGACAGTTGTAGAGAGTAGTAGTAGTTAGCGGGAACCGCCTTTGGCGGTTTCCGTACAAGACATGTGACTATCTACAAATGGAAGGGTTGTGGGAAATCCCACGAAACACAAGTAACCTCGGCCAGCACCAAAACCCCAATGGGGAAAGCTTTGCATGAGGGGGGGGAAAGGGGTAGAACGAGTAAGGAGGGTAGGGTATCAGGATAGATGGTGAAAGGGAGAGAGAGGGGGAGCGATAGAGAGGGGAAGTCTTTGACTATGCGACGGATATGGTCGTTGGAGACTCCGTATCCGTAACATCACCCCCCAGTCTCCTAATGACCATGATGCGGTCCCCAAGGGGCGTATCTCCATGGGTCATCTCTCCAGGGTGACCAGCTTCTCGAACGCTCGTGATAGGAATCCAGAGGGAGGGAGTCATACTGAGCTCCACCAGAGGAGGAGGATGGATGTGGGTCCGGTCCCGGGTACTGCATGGGCGGGGGGTAGGGCTGGCTCATAGAAGGAGGATGAACAGTCGTGGGAGGAGCTCCCAGGTTGACGATGAATGCAGGCACGGCGGTGTTGGTGTTGCTATCCACCACCCACGTAGGATTGACTGGCATCGCGAAAGTTGACGTCGGTGGAATAGACTGTGCCCCTCCAGCGCTATATGGTACCATGCTAGATAGGGAAGGATCGAGATTCGAGTCTCTCGGGTTAGGACGGCTGTCCCTTCGAGCAATCGAATCCTGAGACATCGGTTGAGAAGACCACCTTCTATCCACATCCCTGTTGTAGTCAGATCGACTAGGTTTGGGGCAATATGAGTCCATCTGAGTTCGACAGGTTTCGTTCCCCATTTGCCAACGAGCCTGTCCCGAATGACCCGAGACTGATCCTTCTGTTCGGCCGGGATACGGATGGGACCTTCTCTCTTCTCAAGGCAATTTCCTCCAGCGGTTTTGGTTCGATGAACCCGAGGGAGAGGATGAGGCAGAAGAGTTGTCAGCGGAAAGGGCAGATGGGGTGTTGGTGGGATGAACGCTTGACTGCGGCACCACCACATTCGGAGGGGGTAGGAAGACCGAACTCCCTGCACCTGGCCAGTTGGGAGATGGAGGTGGTATGGAAACATCTCCTAGGTTTAAACCCAACGTTCCTGATGTCAGCTCGTCTGAGCCCTCGTCGAAGGGAGTCAGTGAATCTGGCTGTGCCAGTTGTTGCTCAGCGTCATCCATGACCACCTCTTGAGCTTTGGCGCGAATCATGAAGCATCCAGTATCCGGGTAGTAGAATGTCCGGCTTAGACAACGTCTCTCCACCAACTTGAGGGTGGATGGGTCCTTGTCAGATGGGGGAGGGCCAGGCCACATGAGTCGGAATTCATAGGCCTCCCTGTCTTCAGCACCAGGCAATGGTCCGGGTGTGTCTTCCCATCTGGGCCAGTCAAGGAACCAAGGAACTTCAGTCCCTTGAGCCAACGGGAGTTGATAACTACGAGCAGCCTTGGCATGTTCGCTCAGGTCCAGTTCTTTGAACAATCCATTCTTGATTATGCGACATGGCAGCTGACAAGCTCACAGCACAATGAGCTAAATATAAGACCGGAATAATGCGCCTAGAAGTGCAAATATGACACGAAAATAACATGCTTTAGAGAGAAGTAATTGTGAGGTAGGGGAGGCGGTATGACCATGTTATAACTCGTGTTAAATGCCCATGTATGTATATAACGCACGTTAAATGAAAGTGCTCGATGTTACATATTTTCTGGCGCGCATTTGTAATTATCCAAATTTGGTCATATTGAGCATTCCCCAAACTTCATGTTACAGCGAGTTCCCTAACTAAACCACCGAGCCCTACTAAATGTCCTTTAGAAGCTTCACACCAGCACTCAAGTCGAGACCATCTCGTCCTCCGCCTAGTTCACACTATAGCCATGCCAATGAGCGAAGTCTCTCAGCTCAGCATGATGACGAGGAATCAGAAATACACGGACCAGATGATACTAGTAGAAGCGTATGTAGATGCCCAATGTCCCCAAAAATGAATGATTTCACCCAGTGAGCTGCATTACAGCATCAAAGAAAAAACATCCACCCACCTAGAGGGGTTGCGTCCTCCCCGGTATTCCGTAACCCATTCCTTACCCAGCCAGCATCCACAAGTACACGCAGTGGTACTCAGCCTCATCACCGCGTGAATACAAAACCAATACCCGACGAATTGATCGATCCCCACCTTCTTGAACAGTCGTCCGCCCGCAACATTGGGGCAACTATTAAAAAACTTGTTACCGAAGTCTCTGGCCTTCAGACTACTGTCAGCCGGCTTACCTCTGAAGTAAGGGAGCTTGTGAAAATGAATGGTCAACTAGAACAGGAATGGTCAGAAAAACACGAAGCATTGTTAGAAGAAGTGGCGGAGCTCCGTGGAGAGATACTTAAGATAAAGTCAACTTCTGACAGCGGGCCGAAGCAGCCTGCCAAAACTGGTCGCTTAACGGAACTTGATGTGAGTATGAAGAAATGTTGCATAGACTCAAATACACAGACAACCCTTCCCTAGAAAGCCATCCGTAGCTGCTTTGATCATGCACAAGGTGTGAAAAATGGGGACTACCATCCTGCCGAAGATGATGGTGCCTTGTTTATACAAGAACTGACATCCGATGGCCAAATTGTGCACTGGGTTCGTCCAAATTGGGGTGTATCCTTCCAGGCAAATGAAGAATGGGTGCCCCATGTATTGAAAGTCCTTAAGAAGTACGGACCAAAGTATTGCGGACTTACACAAGAAGAGATCCTCAAAGTCCCTCGCAATAAAATTGTCAAAAAACTGCATAACCGCTTCAATAACATCAAAAAGAAGATAAGGAACCGGGCCTTACCTGAGCATGTCCGAGACGAACTGAAGCGACGGGCTCGGCATAGAAGTCGAGTACTCACCGTAAGCACCAGCCGAGACTTTTCAAATATTGGCTTGCCGACCTTACGTTGATTCCCTAGAAAGCTCAAAATCGTCGACTTGTCCGACATGCATTCCCACCTCTGGTTGGCCCTGAATATGACTGGTTGTTCACCGGGCCCCACCAGAGCTCAGATGATTCCGAGTACTACGATGATGAGAAAGAGATCTTGGATCAAGGTGCAGTTATGCCACTCATCCGACGGCAAGCAGGCTACCTAATCCCCGAAGTTCGTATGCAGAAACCGAAGATCTTTATCTCTGATTCATCTTTTGACAGATTGTCATATGGAAACAAGAACTTGATGGCAAGTATGAAGAGTATATTGCTCAGGTGCGCCGTGAATCCAGTGATGGCAGAACAAATATTGCGGAGTCATGCCCAAAGATCCTTCAAACCCTCAATCTTTTGGATGCACCAATTAAGTTCAGCGCACTCAGGAAAGAGAATGGCCCTGATACGAGAATTCCTCGTGCCTTTGTTGATCCTGATTACTTGAAGCGCCATCCAGAGATGGACAGACCATGGATCATACGCGAATCATTGGAGGAAGAGGGAAACCATCACACGTTGGGATTTCGCCACATCCCGGATGTGGGTTTGCCACCACAAGACCTAGACGAAGATCCAAGTGAAGATGATGCTGCAGTTGATGGATCAACCATTCCAAAGTCACCACCAAGGAAGAAGGTTAAGACTAAGAAGAGCTCGAGTGTGCTGCCGAGACCCCGTCCTAATCTGAGAAGAAACGTGGCAGCAAGTAGCAAGAGGAAGGGGAAGCAAGTTGGAATGTCAAGCCCCATTCCGTACAGTGCATCTGAGGATTCAGAGGAAGAGCAAGCCGTTGAAGAGCCTGATGGCAACGAAACTGAGTCAACTGACGGGCGATTTCGGTGGAATCGACAAGTGTGGAGAGCAGGTATACCAGGGGGAGAAGTCGTAAGTTTTTGGAACGATAACAGAAACTTAATGTCTGATATTGCATAAAAGGATGCAGAAATATCTTGATATTCGAATGGCTTTCCTGCGATTTAGCCAGGATATTTTCAGGAGGCAGTGATCCGGACTATGCGCTAACTTGTCATTAGTTAAGAAAGCATGTAATAAACATCACACAACATACGTTCCAAATTTGCTTCTGAACCAGCACAACACCACTATAATAGGTCTGGTTCCTGATTGATCTAGAGATGAATATTCCAAGTCAGATGTGTGACACAACAATAAATGTACAAAATGTACATGATCAAAGGAAACCGTAACCCAAAATGAAGATCCGCAGAATGGAACTGTACACAACACCAGCCGGCCTTCGAGCTTCTCAAGCGGAATTGCTCTTGGCGACCCAAATCGGTCTGGGTACCATATACCAATGCCAAGTTCGGCAGACCTAGTTGCTTGGCAGTACGTCCATTGCTATATCAGAGTCAATGTATTCACTTACCAAAGATCCCACGGAAAACCTGGGATATTGTTGCCTGTCAGCAGTGGTCGGACCACGGCAAACCTGGGGGGCTCAGACACCATCGATCTTGGATTGTCAGTTGAGTTATGGTCATACGAAAAAATATAGAGTATCTCAACGGGTTGTCGCCCCTCGATAAACCCAAATCGTGCACGGTTCCCCCTAGATGCTGAGCCAGCTCCATACCGTAGCCCTTTCACCAGGACATGGGTGTACAACCACACATCGCCAAGAAACCCGTTGCCAGTGGAGACACACGCATCGCGTATTAGGTTGACCTTAGGTTGTAACATATCCCTCAGAAAAACAAAGACCAATTCATAAAGTTCGCCAGAAATTGCGCGGAGATTTGTATGTTTTCGTTGACCAGGAAGATCAATGAGATCTGTAAATGAATTTCCCCATGCTCTACTTGGTGAGACTGAAAACTCACTTGATTTTTGCGCTGCCGCTAGAGATGCAAGCAAATTTGAAAAGGTCCCCCGCTTGCGTTGCCCATTATTGTCTCCCTTAATGTGGCGTTCCAGCTGTGCTGCGACATCAAGGTCATCGCTGGAGGGATTTTTAATCATCTTGAGGCTTTCAACCTGATATTAGCTTTGTTAGCACTTGTTTACCACAGAAATAGTTAAGTCCGTAGTAGACGAACCAGCTCTTGCAGCAGCTGCATCTTCAGCCAAGCACGGGCCATTGTGCTTTCGAGCTCTCCCGCACCATGGCCATTATGATTCACATTCGCAAGAATCCTATTGTGACGTTCGGGCCCAAAGCACCAGGTCGCATATACAGGGCCATTGCACCTCAGACCTTCCAGCATATGAAGCGCTATGTGACAATATGGGACAAGATGACATCCCATAGCAGCCCAATCCTGAAACGCTTGCACTAGGCAAGCATGTGCACGCATGTAGTCAGAGATGCTTCCGCTCTGTGTCCCTATAATACGCAAAGCCACACAGACTTTAAGAACATTATTGTAGTGCCTTGCATAGTTTCTTCGAGGCGATGGGGGGCTTGGGTTGTTCCCATCCTGATTCCTAGCGATATTCAGTGAAGCAAGAAACTTTTGACGACGCTTCTGCACGAGTTTTGCCTGAGCAATCATCGATTTTGCCACAGTCAGATTTTGATGCGACGGGAGTGGAGCCTCTTCATTAGGAATCATGCCATCTTCTTGCCAACTTGCGTATAGTGCTATGAAGAGAATGGCTGCTAGATTTCTCCATTCATCTGCCTTGACACGTCCTCCAGAAAGCGCCTGCGCCAGATAGGCCATTGTTCCTGTGAAACATAAGGAAGCACACACTGACATTTTTTGGAAGCCTCCCAACCGAAGCTGGCCATAGTATCGCATTCTGGATGAAGGACTCGAACTTCTCAAGTGGATTTGATTGATTGGCCTTCCGAATAAACATGCCGCCTCTTAGAAGGATTTCGCAGGAAACATGTTTGACAATCCCTTTGCAGTATCAGCATACATTAGTCCTGAGCAATAAGATATACCTAGGAGGGAAGAATGCATAAAGTCGACCGGGTTGTCCCTTGAAGGCATCCAGCCTGGTAACTGGTCAAGTGGTGACCACCGTTTCCCACTACGCCTCGTCAAAAATTCCCGTTGATCAAGGTTCTCGGTCTCTGACCACATAAAGGAATATCGTAGGAGTCGGCTGTCACTAGTTGGCCGTAAATCTACGGCACGAGATAAGTCACAATAGAGGGAGATAGGCATTACCCACAGTTGAGATCAAATCCAGTTGGATCGGCTAGACTTCCAATCGTCGCATTGCAGAATGTACACATATATTCATTGGAAGTACAGCCCATTCTCCCAGTAGCAGCACAGCTAGCAGGAAGGTCAGAGCAACAGAGGTGAAGGTGGCCATGCATGAGTTGTTTATCCTGGCACCTGAAGACTCGGAGAAAGATACCAGCTTCCAGCTTAAGCATGTCGGCAACCAGGAGTTCTAGAATTCCATTGAGCTGTATCTGCGATGGCTCGCTTGGCCCAGGTATGACCATATACAGGATGGTCTCTTCCATAAGGAATCGGATCGAGCGTGGGAGGTTACAGATCGTCAGGTAGATAGCGCCTACACTGTATTGGTACCAGTTTGCACATTGAAACCTAAAAGTATCATGAGTGGCAGTTCGCCTTCCTGCTAAATCTCGAAAACAAGCTAGCCACATACCAGTCAATATTGAAAAGGAATACAATCCCACAAGGCAAAGCCACAAATCTTTGTCGACTCGTGTTCATGCATTCGTCAGTTATCTCCCCTCTTCCAAGACACCGGCGCCTTGTCAGGGACTCGTCTGGGGTCGAGGGGGTCCGGGTATAGCGTCCGGGACCGAGAGCCTGGCGGGGGGCGGATCGGGCGTGCGTACTGACAGGCCTGATGTGGGACAGTGGTCCCTGGCCACTTAGACTGAAGTGGAAAGTTGTTATTATTATTAAAGGAGAAATATTGTACTACTTACCTGAAGTGGAAAGTTGAGAAGAAGGCTACTTCTTCGGTTCCCACTTCAGGTTCGTTTATATACATGCGGCTTGGATCACATGACGGATGCCACGTCACCCTCGCACACAGCCGTAACCACCCGGGTGTCTCCGTGGGAGATCCCGAGGGTATCCGGTGCAGGCGCGCGTGCTGGGCACAGCGGGAAGTCGCCCGAGGTGCCCGGGCCGGGTACATGGTGGGCGTGCTGCAGATGGGTCAGTTGTACATTGATACAGAGAAAGTCGTCCATGTAGAATAAAGAGAGAATAAAGGAGAAGTAAGATAAGGAGAAACTGAGGAGGGGAGGATGAGGGGGAAGAAGGGAAAGGGGGAGGAGGTAAGGAAGGGTGGACCGGCGGGGTACCGGGTCAGGTTGGGCCGGGTGGAGCCGGGTCAGGCGGGTGTGCCCTGACACGCCTTAGGCCAGCTTCAATGGCTTGCCAGCCCCAGCCATCATGTATGTCATGCATCTTTTCGTCAACTGGGTGACAACTGTAGTGTTCGGCCTCTGAGATCGGTGGAACAATCCCTGGTTCATCTCCTTGGTGCCGCCAATGCTGCATCTGATCAAATTTTCCTGGGCAAAGCAAGATCCGTTGAAGCACAGCATCTAGATTAATGCAAGGCAGAAACTTGATTGGAATACGTCTTTCCATCCCATTTTCAGCAGGCTTGATCGTGTAGAGAAGTCCTGAACAAGTCGCATGTGGGCATTCAGGTGATTCAAGTGAGGGAAACTCGCTTGAATGATGAGGCCGCCAGCAAGCACTGCAAAGAAAGTAATATGAAATATACGGGTCACAGGAAAGACCCAAACGTTTTTCTACAGTTGGAAGGGTAATTGCCATAGTATCGAGATCGTGAAATAGGCCGCCGCCACTGTATTCTTTTATTGATTGAAAAAGTGCCCTTTGGCCCTGAAGAAATTCGCTGACTGCTGCATGAGTAGCACCATGATAAGAAGACATGATAAATGCACGGATGTAAGCATTCCGGATAGGAGGCGACTCTCGAAAGGCAGAAGGAAGAGTTTCTAGTTCGCCGAGGGCATCAGGTTGAGACTTTTGGCCTTCTAGCCATTTGAAGATAGCATCTGATTGCTGAAATAAAGGGTCTTCACTTATATCAAGTGGCGCAATATTGTCATAGTAATCCTGATCAGAGCCCACAGCTTCATCGCCGTCCAAAGTTTCATCTGCTATATCAAGTCCAAGTTGGATACCCACAGGTGACCCAGAACCACTGGTCGATAGAGAGGATGAGTCCGACAGCTCTGGGTCAGAGAAATATGGTTGACAAGATTTGTTCAGTGATGGCAGTTCAATGTTCATAGCACTATCACCATAGTTATCCAATGAAGAAAGGATGAAGCCCTTTTGTCCTCAAGACTGAATATTTGCTGCCGATAAATCTTCCGTGTGGGGACTAGAGGGGAGTGCGGGTGTCACAGTAGCTGCCACAGGATGAGACGCGTCGTTCAACATTTCCTTTATCATATGGGCCTTTATCACTGAGGGGGTCTGAAAGAGGGGCCCATATTCAGAACCATGACACACGCTACATGGACACAGTTGGCGCTATCAAGTGGCGCCAGTGTGCGCGTATGTTGGGGAATGCGTTCAAGTTGCATTGTGCAGGCCGAAGGAACTGGTTAGTCTGAGCATTTGCCGGTAGTCTGAGAGGACATACACATCGTCCACCCATGATTCACTGGGTGCTTCTTTGGTTTCCGGAGTGCAAATGGTGTCAACAAGTGCGTGCCTGAAATGCCGTGAAGGCGTGAGAAACGTTGCGAGAAACGTTGCGATTGGCGTGCGAAACGTTGCGATTGCTCGATCAGATGCCTATTGCAAGATTAAGAAAGGAGCCGTTTGATGGGATGGCTTCAGATCGAGGCAGGTGGCCGAAGGTGGAACAAGCTCATATTATTCAGATCAATCACGGTGCCGGCGCTCCAGCAGAATTTCGCTAAGTCAACAGGGCAAATTACATCTCGTTATATTCCAAATAAACACTACAATTAATATTTGCTAATGTGACACGGATTTAACTCGTGTTATATCCCATTTTCCACCAATAACGCGCTTCAACCAGGAGCTATATTTTAGCCCTTTTGCAGTGGCTAGGTATACAGCGAACTCGGGTGAACTTGCTGTCAATTGATCATCAGTTGAACTTTCTTCAAGGAAAATTCCTTTCAGGGGTTCCAACCAGGATATCTTACGTCCCTCTTGGACTTCTCCTTCCATCAGGTGTTCATGGATCCGGGTGTAATTGACAAAGGCTGTAAGGAGGGAAATGATCCGGAGTATGTAGGTATATCGAGATATTATGGTGAAGGGGTGTTGCCAGGGAACGAACTGGAAGGCAAAGATGTGACTGTCTAACTTGTGCTTGCCGCCCGACTTGGACTCGACTTTGTATATTACTTCCCTCAATTCGTTAGGCAATCGCAATTTCATGAGGGCCTCAGCCTTGAGCGTGGCAGCCTTTGAAGACTCCCAACATTCCAGTAGTGGGGTCAGAGATCGAGGTGGAACGTTCTGGTTCCCGTTTTCTCTCAGCACTTCGGCCTCATTGAGGTGGTGATTTTCAGGTAGCAAGAGCCACAATCGATCCAGAGATCGAACACCGGGTCTTACATGGTGCAAGGTGATGTACGAGAAGGTCGGGTCAAGAGGTCCCAGCTGCCCGTTTAACCACATAGGGTCAGATGGGGCTCTCTTGAAGGGTGCAGATGATACTTTGGCTGCCTCGAGACCTGGGCAGTCCCATCTGTGTTTGTCTGTGATCACAACAGAGTTACATGGGGTGGGCCTGCAGCTCATACTTGCCAGTCCGAGAGACATTGTCAGTTAGGTTCGTTGATGGGATCGCAAGAAGAAAATGATGGAGATGGAAGATGATCGAAGTGTACCCTGATCACGTGCTGTTAATCGACTTCGTGTGAATACCTGATTGGGAAGTGGGCGCTTATTCACATCTGCTCAGGCCTGCCTTCAATCTATACCCTCCGAGGATCTCGGGGGCATTTCGGAGGTCTCTTTCAGTTGCCCAGGTGTCTTCTTGTACCCCATATCCTTTCCACCTCACTCTGTACAGGAGTTTCCCTTTCCGCTTCCTGTGCCCCACCACCTCTTCTACCTCAAACTCTTCTGAGGCTTTTATGTCGTCCCTGGGGTTGGACAGTAATGGTCTTGAGACGTCACCAGGTGAATGATAAGGCCTTAGGTGCACTACATTCACCACGTTATGCATAGGGTAGGAGTCGGGAAGTTTTAATCAGTAGGCGTTCTCGTTTATCACCTCTGTCACCTCGAATGGTCCAATGTGTCTCTGCATTAGCTTCCTCCCTGTACCCTTTACTTCCAGGAGGTTGAGTTTATGAGGATCGATCAGTACTAAGTCTCCCACTTCATACGTTACTCTCCTGTGTTTGGCGTTGTGCGCTCTGACTTGATGCAGCTGTGCCAGATGGATTGCTTCTCGTGCCCATCTTCTGCATACATTCAACGCGTCCACTCTTTCCTCCACTTTGACGTTGAGGGACTCTTCAGGAATTAGGAATGAGCTGGGCAGATGGGGTCAAAAACCCATCAATAGCGTAGCAGGAGTTTCTCCCATAGTAGTGTGAGGACTATTATTGTACGCTAACATCAGAATGTACAAGAATTCATGCCAGTCGTCCCTGTCCTTATTGACATAAGCTCGTAACATGACTTCCAATTGCTGGTTCATTATCTCCGTCTGTCTGTCCATTTGCGGGTGTGCAGCTGAAGACATCGCCAGCTTAGTGTTAAAGTGATGCGCTAAGGATGACCAGAACGTCGAGAGAAAATGAGGGTCCTGGTTGCTGACTATTACTGCAGGCAACCCCACATGTTTAATCACATGGCACCATAATAAGTCTGCAGCACCCATCGCGTCTGTGGTGGAGGAGCATGGGATAAAATGCCCATATCTCATGAACTTGTCTACCACTACCAAGATGGCGTCTGGCTGTGTGGTTCCTTTAGGAGGGGGTAATCCCATCACGAAATCCAAGGTTATTGTGTGGTATGGCAAGTCTGGGACAGGCAAGGGCTTCAGCAGACCCGGCATTTTGCCTCTGTCATGCTTGATCTTCTGGCAGATGTCGCAAGTCCCCACATACTGTCGAGTATCCTTTCCAAGGTCCTTCCAATAACACTTAGATTTCAGGCGCTTGAGCGTCCTTTCTATACCCGCATGAGCGGCCTCGTGAGGGGTGTCATGAATTTCCTTGAGGATCGTGGTCCTCAGACTTCTCGGGACACATAGGTGTCAGTTGGTTTGCAGGTCATCCCAAAGTAGCAACCCTTCCTCCGACACTTGGTAGGCACCTCCTGCTACACCACCGTTAAGGGTTTTGTGGTATATGTCCCCGAATTCCTCGTCCATGTAGTAGGCCAGACGGAATTCCTTGGCTGTTCTCGGGGCTAAACCCAACCATAAGCTTGTCGTGCTCTTTTCCTCTTGATCTTCGTCCATGATATCCGTGCTACATGATAGGTCTAACTTGTCTACGGCATTAGACTGTGCCCTGGTAACCACAAAGGCTCCTTTCGCTGGGTCCTTGCGCAGATACGTGCTCCAACTTTGGATAAGGTCCTCCTGAGCCAGGCTGGTTTCTAGACTGTGTAGCTTTTCCACGTTTGGGGATATCGTTTCCGGGGTCCGGGCCAGGCTGTCAGAGACCAGGTCGAGACAAGGGAATGTCTCCATGGCGGAGGGCTTTGGCCTCAGCAACTTATGCCAGGAGCGCTGTGCCAAGTAACACATCTGTGCCCTAACTTACTAAACTGGCAAACAGAACTGAAGGGGGGTAAACTCTAGTCGATTTTATTACTGAGGTGTAACCTATGTACAAGTTGAGTATATATAGTTACAATGAGGGCAGGCCCACAAATGGTGGAGCCGAGCCGAGCCGAGCTAACGGGGTTTAAACATTAGCCGATTGAATATTACCAACAAGTCGGGTTATGGGGTTAGCAGAATGGTAGGCGATAACCCAGAAATGGAAAGGAGGGATAGGCCCGAAGGTGGGCTTGCAGGGCAAGCGAGTGTATTGCCCAGTGGAGGCGGGAGTGCACTAGCGGACGTCGGAGCTGTCCGGAAGCCTTCGGGGCTCCATACTTAGGGAGGTGTAGTGTCAGGGCACACCCGCCCGACCCGCCTCCACCTGGGCCTACCTCACCCAGCACCCCTTCTCTCACCCAGCACCCCTCCCTCATATCCCTTCCCCCTCTATCCCTCTTTCACTTCTATTTCTATTCCTATTTCTATTTCTATTTCACACGGACGACCTTTCCCTTATATCTATGTATTATTGACCTGCCTGTGATGCGCACATGACATGCCTAGCCCCGGACGACCCCGGATGGCTCTAGGGCGCAACCCAGTGCACGCGCGTGCAGCACACACCCTCGGGATCCCCCACAGGGACACCTGGGTGACCGCGGCTCTATGCAGGGTGACGTGGCAGACCTCATGTGACCCAAGCCGCATGTATATAAACACACGTGGGGTGGGAACCGAAGAAGTAACCTTCTTCTCAACATTCCCACTTCAGGTAAGTAGCATAGTTTCCCTTTTAATAATAACTCAACATTCCCACTTCAGTCTAAGTGGCCAGGGACCGCTGTCCCACATCGGGCCTGCCAGTACGCATGCCCGATCTACCCCCCATGAGGTCCTTAGCACCAGACGCTACGCCCGGACCGCCTCGACCCCGGACGCATCCCTGACATGTAGGTAATATATTGAAAAGAGGGGGTGGTGACCATCAAGGGGTACCGAGGTGATTGCGGAATATGGGAGCTCCGAGGTTAGTGAAGAAGGAGCAGAGGTAGACCGGAGGGATCAGAGGGAGTGGAAGTCGATGGCCTGGGATGGATATGACAGAAAGGTGGCAACACACCTAGAGCACAAACATTGACCATTCAAACCAACTGTGCAACACAAACAGATACAGGTGGGCAGAGAAGAAATACCAGTACAAGCCAAGTGCCCAGCAGACAAGCAATCCAAATGCCAATGGCAATCCAAACAGCACAGACTCAATGATGAACCCTAGAGGATAGCACTAGCATGTCTGAATCAGAAATGAGCGAACCTGACCATGGAGACACACTTACTGCCCTGACTCTTCCTCCCATTCTTTTCCTTTCCCTTTCACATCTTTCTTTGGTGCAGATGCCTCCATCTCCACATCTTTTGCTGGGCCAAAGAATGGTCCTCTCTTCGCATGGGGAGCCTGAAGCTCTTCCTCTGCTGCACATTTAAGACTTATGCTAGCCCCAAGAGACTCAACCTTCGGTACAAGTTGTGTAGGGCCTACAATCTGAATCGCACTCCAATGTAACTGGAAAGAACGTATATCCCCACAACCGGTATTTGGAGCACGAGAACTAAACACATAAGCCAGAGAGCAGTCCACGATGGCACTCAGAGTTGCGAAGAAAACAAATGCAGCTTACAAATGTAAGGTCACACTTCCCATGATCGCCATCCCCTCAACCAACGACATTTGCAGACCCTCACGTTCTATTGGTGCACCCTGAGAGTCATATGCACTGAGGTTGACCACATATTGGAATTCTTTTTGGCTTGTGAGAAACGGGATGGCACAACGAAAATGCCCTTCCGGGTCCCACTCAGGATGGTTGAAGATAGTGGGAGTTGGGTCACTCTGATCAGAAGAACCTTCAGCTGTAGCAGGTGGGTCTGTGCCAGTCAGCCTTACAGACCACAACCCTTTAGGAGACTCTGGAAGCGTACTTTGAAACATATCCATCAGATTAATTTTGGGGCACTCTTTTGCTGACTGAGATCGAACCTCTTTGAACATCGCATGGGTGAGGCATAGAAACAGCAAGTTACAGTTGTCCAAGTACACAAACCCATACTCATGGTCATGAATCTCAACGGTGGTGTCTGGACCAGGCTCTGAGTGGTGTTGGCAACCCAGATGACTGAGAGAATACATACCTTCTGTCAGAGACTGGATCGAGACAAAGGAGTGTCTCTGTGGCGGAGGGCTTCGGCCTCAGTGACTCAAGCCAGGAGCACTGTGCCTGTCATATCCATACAATCCCGACCTCTGCTCTGGGCTCCCGGAACTCCGAAACTGACTTCTGGAGTCCTACTTCCCTTCTGTCACCTTCTCCTTGCTGACTTCCAAGAGGTTATCCCACCTCCGGCTCTGACACCACCTTCAGTCCGACTCCGGAACATTCCGGGTCCGACCCCAACCTCGACACCTTCCAGACAAGTATGCAACACCTATGCTCCCGACTCCGGACTTCCGCTCCGGAATCCCGTTTGCGTCTCTGTCTCCGGAACCTCCGGTCTTAGCTCCGACCTCGGACTTTGACCCCACCTCCGCTTATACCCATTGTATTGGTTAGCTCATTCCATTTAATTGCTTTTGCCAATATTCCGGAGTTTAACTTCCGAGTTCGGACTTTCCGGACTTACTTCGGACCTTGCAACTATTGCATTGCTCCATTCAATTCCGCTATACTCCCTCATTCCTATTTGGGCTGCTGCTTCCTTTCTATTCAGTCAGCTGGCCATTCCCCACTCCCATCCTCCTTCCTTCCTCCTTGGGCCTTGGCCCTTCACTCCTCCTTTGGGAAACACCATTGAGTCAAACCCTTGACCCTCGGTGTTGTTCCTCATTCCAGCTCCCTTTGTCTGCTTTCGGAGTACCCTTGCTCCTTTTGATTCCGGACCCCTCCTTATATACAATGTACATAGTAACTTGTAGCCTCAGTCCAAAATCGACTTGATTTCCCCCCAAGAGACTTTCCTTTGCTAGATCCGAAATTAGGGACCCCTAGGACAACCAGCAATGGCACAGCGCTCCGCATGAGTCACTGAGGCCAAGGTCCTTCCACGCTAAGTCTCCGATTCCACTCCGGAGTCATCCGAATCTGCACGATCTAACAGTGCCAAGTTACACGTCTGTGCCCTAATTTACTTATTGGCAACGAGGACTAAGGGGGATCAACTCTAGTCGATTTTATTACTGAGGTGTAACCTATGTACAAGTTGAGTATATATAGTTACAGTGAGGGCGGGCCCATAAATGGCAGGGCCAAGTGGAGCAGAGCTAACAGAGTTAAACATTAGCCGATTGAATATTACCGACAAGTCGGGTTACAGGGTTAGCGGAATGGTAGGCAATAACCCAGAAATGGAAAGGAGGGATAGGCCCAAAGTGTCATATCCCGGAATCCTGACCCCGTGCACTCCCACCACATCACACCTTCCTAACAACTTCACCATCCCCTACACCATGCCTCCCCACTCCTCAAGTCACCTTCCCTCCTGACTGTCTCAGCTCCGGTCTGGTTGCAGCACACCGAACCTTGGCCACCCCCATCCCGGAAGCTCGGTCCTGAGTCGGAACATTTGGAGACTCCGGATTTGCTCCGATACCTCGACGGACCTCCGACATCCCATGACACACCCTTAAACCATTTCTCCACCCATTTCATTTATTTGAGTCACCCAACATCCTTCGGATACGCAACTCCGCTTTCGGAGTTACCTGCATCCTTCGGTGATCTCACTCATGTCATCACTTATTAGTCACCCTCCATTCTTAGCACGACTATCTTCTTCTTACCATTCAGTCGGCTAACCCCCCCTTACCCATTTCTCGTTCCCATTCATTTTCCGGCCTCTTACTCCGCCCTCTATGGTCCGACACCTCGGTTCCCTGTTAGAGATATCGTTTGGGACCTTTTGGTACCTCTCGGTATCATTCGGCACCTTTCGGTGTCGTCCCATTATTATTCGGACTTTAACTAAGTCCTTTCCACTCCCCTTTATAAAATACCCGTAGATTAGAACCTGTAGTTCCTCAGTTCTAATCTCGACTAATATGCTACCCAAAGTCCCTCTGAGTGAATCCTGTTCCCATTCTACAAGATACCTCAGACATAAGAAATACAAGGACTAACTGAGACGTAACAGAGGCACAGCGCTCCCTCTGAGTCGCTGAGGCCGCGTCCTTCTTAGAGCCTCTTGTACCATCCAGCAGACCCGGGCTTCCTGGGGAAGCTTCAGACCACCACCGGAGCTCTTGGATTCCCCCTCTAGTTGAGCCCCACCTGCATTCGGACTCACGCATTTACCCCCTACGATCCGGGTGTTTGACAGTGGCAGTCGAAAAGTGAAAGGGTATTGAACCCTTTCGTAAAAAATTGATTGACAAAATGGGTAAATATTGGGAATTTTTTATTCCCAATTCAAAAAATTATATGCCAATACAGTAGAATACACACCATTCTGCATTTCTGGATACTGTTGCGCATCAGCGCTAGACATGAGGTTTGGGGATTGGCTATTGGGGTGACATACAAATTAAATGGGATTGCTGTCCTAAAGTTGATACCTCAGATGGCCATGCCTTCTGAGAGACATAAGAAATGGACTTTCAATGGTAATAGTGCACTGAGGCATGAATCAGTTTGTGATCTGAAGGGCTGTCTGGAGAACTTGAAAAGTAGTGCAAGTGGGAGGTCGAGAACAATGGTCCAAGTCAAAACGCCCCCATCACTCCAGCGTCTTTGAAGACTGCAATTGTGTCTTCTGAGACTCGGATGCCAATGATTAAATTCGCAGGTCCAGTTCACTGGTCTGGGTTGTAGAATGAGCAAATCGGTCTCAAGGCATCAGGGTGATGCAGTAGGGTATGTGGCAAGTAGCTCACAAGGGAATTGCAAGTAAATACCGTAGTGTTCCATGAAAATCACCTCCAGACCTTGGCAGGTTACCAGCCTCTATTAAGTATAGTCCAGACCCCAGTTATTCAGTTTGTGACTGCGCTGCGGTTGCCGACTTTGTCAAAGGGATACCTTGCCTGCGAGGTGAAAGAATCCGGTGAACCGTGCGTTCACTGATGAGGGTAGCCTGTGTGATCTCCTTGGGAGCGAGGGTTTCAGATATCAGGGCGATGAGCCACTTTGTGTCTGGTGTGGTGTGGCTAGTACCCATGAAACAGTGATGGTGGTTGAAGAGCTGAGCAGCTTGACATGCGCCAGAGAGCTGGTCCAGCAGTGCAGTCATCGTCAATATATCATCAACGGGGAATGGCCATAGGGCGCTTATTTTGCAATATTGACATCTTTTGAATTGAAAATAAAAATTCCGAATATTTACCCATTTTGTCAATCAATTTTTTACGAAAGGGTTCAATACCCTTTCACTTTTCAACTGCCACTCCACTGTAACAAAGTGTGGATTTTGGTGATTGTTGTTGGTTAAGTTGTTATTATATACATGTCACGTGATATTGCACTGCATAGAGCCCATAAGAGGCTAGGAATGGGAAAATCCCATTTCCATAACAAGTTAAGTGTTGGGGAGGTTAGCCACGGCACAGGTCACGGGATCTGGTCATGTGCAGGCGTGGGAAGTTCAATTTAGGCAAGCGGCAAGTCAGAAAAGCATGCTTCACACATTCCCAAGGCATCAAATAAATTGGGAAAAATGTTCTTTAGCCACGTAAAGGTTATTCCCAGTCACATTTCCAGTTTCGGGTACTAATTTTGTGAAATCATTGATAAATTCCCGACTTTCCTCATATTTTCACATTTTTACCATCATTTTGATATATTGGATGATATTCTTTTATTCTTCTGATGCCCTTTTCACATACTGGGATTGAAAAATCAAGTTCTCCCCTCCTCTAATTTTTTCTAAGGCACTAGGATGCATCAGAGTTAGTGTGGGTGTGTTAGGAATTCCTACAGTAGGAGTAAGGGCAGTCATCTAGCCCACAAAGAGTGGGTAGTGGACACTGAGTCCGGACCTTGCAGAATTTCCGGAGAATTTCCTGGAGTTTTAGGATTGAGGCCAGTGGAGAAAAGAGTTTTTGTGGAGAGTTTCCCCCATGAGCTTGGTTGGCACTGAGAGCTGCTAGCTCTCTTGTAACATGTGCTTCCAATCGGTGGCAATTGGCAAAAATCTCCGATGAAAATGACATTGATGCCTCCAAATGCATGAGTGTTCTCCTTTGCCAGTGAAAGAGCCAAACTCACATCAGCAAGCAGTTCACAACTGATCACAGACACCTCATTGATGGATAAGTATTGGACACCCTGCCAGGCTTGCATGAGGTCAGTTTGAGACTGGGAGCCATTGGATTTTAGCATTAAACTCAGTTGGGCCAGATGGAGGGCAGAATGCAACGTACATCCTTGGATATTTCTTGCCGCAGCACCAGTATAAGCACAAAGCTGAAATTTGCGAGCTGAACCCATCAGTGTAAAAAATGCAGTCAACGCTTTGATAACCTGTGATTTCCCAGTTCCACCGGCACCTCCAAGGTACATATATAAAGGTTCATGAGTGGATGGGGATGATGCAGCATGAATGGCTACCAAACAAAAAGCATGAAGTTGTTCCAAATTGAGTGAGAAGTGGTTCGAGACTGCTAACATTACTTCAGTGCAATTCGTGTGCAACTCAGGAGATGAGGGGTCGACAATATAGGCATGTGATAGCCCCACTCCATTATCGTTGGCAACAGTGAGCACAGTGTCATCAATGAGAGTGACATGGGATGAAGCCAACAATGTACCACGATCAGGCAAAGTGGAGGATGACACAGAGGATGCTTTCAATGCCTGTTTGGCACGTGTATTTCGCACTTTGTAGTCATCATTCTACTTCAGTTCCTGGGCTCTGTGGTCTCCTACCAAGTGAGCAAAATGGTCCACCATGAGTGGAGCAGAATCGCAGTCATAGTGGTCTGGCAATACAGACTTGAAAGCCCTGACCGGATGGCATGATGAAGAGCATTGGGGATGTCCACTGCCATTGTTTGGTGTTTGT